AAGTTATTTTTTATTTATAAAATGTAAAAAGTTACTTATAGCTAAAAAGATCGCTTCAAGTTACTTAAAAGTAAAACGAATTTATAATTGTAAAAGCTACTTATAAGTAGAAAAATATTAACTTCAATTTTTTTAAGTATAAATATATAATTATATTTATTTTTAAAATTAAATATTAATAAAAATATTACACTATCTATAATGTAAAAAGTTACTTATAAGTAAAAGAAGCACTTCAAGTTATTTAAAAGTAATAAAAAATTTATAATTGTAAAAGTTACATATAGGTTAAAAAAATATTAATATATCATTCTCTTATAATTGCAAAAGCTACTTATAAGTAAAAAATATTAGCTTAAAATTTTTTAAGTATAAATATTTAGATATATTTAGTTTTTAAAATTAAATATTAATAAAAAGATTACACTATTTAGAATGTAAAAAGTTACTTATAAGTAAAAAAATCACTTCAAGTTATTTAAAAGTAATAAAAAAAATTATAATTGTAAAAGATACTTATAGATTAAAAAAATATTAATTTCAACATTTTTAAGTAAATATTTAGATATATTTAATTTTATAATTAAATATTAGTAAAAGAATTACTACAGATAATATTTTAAAAAATAAATAATAAAAAAACATATTTGCATGGAGTGCTCCGTGCACAGAGTGTCAACACTCCGTGCACGGAATAGAAATAAGTTATTTTTTTTAATTTTTTTTATACTAATTTTTTTTATCAATATTTAATTTTTAAAAATTAAATATATCTAAATGTTTACTTAACAATGTTGAAGTTAATATTTTTTTATCAATAAGTAATTTTTACAATTATAAGTTTTTTATTACTTTTAAATAACTTTAAGTGATTTTTTTACTTATAAGTAACTTTTTACATTCTAGATAGTTAATTTTTTTATTAATATTTAATTTTAAAAACTAAATATATCTAAATATTTATTCTTAAAAAATTTTATGTTAATATTTTTTTACTTATAAGTAGCTTTTGCAATTACAAGAGAATGAGATATTAATTTTTTTTTTCATTTTTTTACCTATGAGAAGCTTTTACAATTATAAGTTTTTTTTATTACTTTTAAATAATTTGAAGTGTTTTTTTACTTATAAGTAACTTTTTACATTCTAGATAGTGTAATCTTTTTATTAATATTTAATTTTAAAAACTAAATATATTTAAATATTTATACTTAAAAAATTTGAAGTTAATGCTTTTTTACTTATAAGTAGTTTTTACAATTATAAGTTCGTTTTACTTTTAAGTAACTTGAAGTGATCTTTTTAATTATAAGTAATTTTTTATATTTTAGAAACAAATATTAACTTTTATGTAAAAATTTATTTAAAAAATATTATTACTAATAAAATTATGGGTTATGGTCGATAGTTGGTAGCGTGAGAAAATAGAGAAAGAGTCTCTATGTCAGATTCAGAGCATGTAAATTGCAGGTAAAATAGAAAACGACGTCAATTCTACTCAACTAATTAAAAAAATTATGGCGTGACAAAATATTATTTAAAAAAATATTACTACTAATAAAATTATAAGATATGGTTGATAATTAATAGTGTGAAAAAATTGAGAAGGAGTATTGCGTGTCAGATTCAAAGGACCAAACCAGTTTCAAAACCAGTTCAATATGAAAATCAACGTGACAAAAATGAAAAGTAAACCTCTCATTCTCATACTGTAGCCTTTTTTTTTAATTGGTGGGCAGAAACGACGTCGTTTTCTATTTCACCTGCAACTTATATGCTCTGAATCTGGCACAGAGTACTCTTTCTCAATTTTTTCCCGCTATCAACTATCGATCATATTCTATAATTTTGTTAATAATAATATTTTTTAAATAACTGTTTACATAAAAGTTATTCTTTATTTCTAAAATGTAAAAAGTTACTTATAACTAAAAAGATCGCTTTAAGTTACTTAAAAGTAAACGAATTTATAATTGTAAAAGCTACTTATAAGTAAAAAAATATTACTTTAAATTTTTTAAGTATAAATATTTAGATATATTTAGTTTTTTAAATTAAATATTAATAAAAAGATTACACTATCTAGAATGTAAAAAATTACTTATAAGTAAAAAAAGCACTTCAAATTATATAAAAGTAACAAAAAACTTATAATTGTAAAGCTGCTTACACATAAAAAAATATTAATCTCTCCTCTTATAATTGCAAAAGCTACTTATAAATAAATAAAAAATATTAACTTAAAATTTTTTAAGTATAGATATTTAGTTTTTAAATTAAATATTAATAAAAAGATTGCACTATTTAAAATATAAAAAGTTACTTATAAGTAAAAAAATCATTTCAAGTTATTTAAAAGTAATAGAAAAACTTATAATTGTAAAAGCTACTTATAGATAAAAGGATATTAACTTCAACATTTTAAAGTAAATATTTTGATATATTTAATTTTTTAAAATTAAATATTAATAAAAAGTTTACTATAAATAAAATTAAAAGAAAAAAAAAAGAAACAAGCTCGGTGCACGTAGTGATAAACACTCTGTGCATGGAGTGATCACTCCGTGCATGGTGGAGTGATTTTCACTCCCCATGCATGGGAGTTCACATGGGGAGTGGAAATCAATTCCGTGCACGGAGACTTATATCTTTTTCTTTTTTAATTTTTTTACTAATATTTAATTTTAAAAAATTAAATATATTTAAATATTTACTTAAAAATGTTGAAGTTAATATTTTTTTACCTATAAATAGCTTTTAAAATTATAAATTTTTTAAAATTATTTTTAGATAAATTGAAGTGATTTTTTTACTTATAAGTAACTTTTTATATTCTAAATAATATAATCTTTCTAGTAATACTTAATTTAAAAAACTAAATATATCTAAATATTTATACTTAAAAAATTTTAAGTTAATATTTTTTTACTTATAAGTAGCTTTTGCAATTATAAGAGAATAAGGGATTAATATTTTTTACCTATAAGTAGTTTTTATAATTATAAGTTTTTTTATTACTTTTAAATAATTTGAAGTGTTTTTTTTTTTTTTTTTACATTCTAGGTAATGTAATCTTTTTTTAAATTATTTATTAATAAAAATGTACTATAAATAAGGGAAAAAAATCCTCACTCCGTATACGGAGTGGTTCCACTCCATGCACGGAGTGTTATCTCTCTCCTTTTGAAAAGTCAAAAAGAGATAACTCTCCTTTTGAAAGGAGAGACAATCTCTCCGTGGATGAAGAGATTCTTTCCGTCCACAGAGAGTTTTTATTTTTTATTTTTATGGAGGGATAATTTTGTTGGTATTATATTTCGATATAAAATTCTTTTTAATTCTTTTATGATAATTTTTTTTTCAATTTTAATTAATTAAATAATGTTTATATAATATTTATTTAATTTTTGTAACTTTATTTTATTTTATTTTATTTGTTTAATTTAGTTTAGTAAAATAATCTTTATACATTCTTTATGATAGAACGATATTCGTTAAATTTGAATTAAATAATTTTTTAAAAATCATTTTAATTTAATTTAAAAACTTTATAATAAATTTTTCTATTTTTGTCTACAATTTTTTTTAATAATCTTTATATTTTATTTCGTATCTTTATTATATAATATATAGTACTGACTTTAATTAGTGATGACTCGGCTCGGCTTGTGAGCTCGTGCTTTTTTTAATTTTTTTTTTGTGAATTGGCACATTTTGTACTTTTTTTTAAAAAAAATATTCATATTTTTTTATGAGCCCACGAGCCTCGTCAAAATGGCTCGTTGGATTGAGCCCCTGCTCAAATGACGAGCCCGAGCCGCCCACGAGCCGGGTTTTGACAAGTCGAGCGGCCAAGCCGACAAGTCGCTCGACCCATTTGACATCCTTAGCTTTAATCAAGTGAAGTAGTGTGTGAAAAATAGAGAAATCAGTGAAACGATGTGTGAAAATAGTGAGATTGTGTGTGAAAAGAATGCTATGGTATGATTGAATAGAATAATTTAATGTTGTCAAACCAATTTCATTTGAAAACCTATATGACAAAAATGAACAATAAACCTTATATTATCTTTTTTAAAATAAGAAACGATACAATATAAATGGTCCCCACTGATACTCCTCATCAACCTTTGAAAGCATATCTCCAAAAAAATTGGAAAAGATGAAAACGTAAACTAGCACGATCTCGATAAGGATTAAGCACCATCCTCCATTCTTGACACCTGCAGCTGATATAACAATGTTTATACAATCATCTTCTACGTAGGAGCACTTACACTACGCGCCTGATTGGTAGAAATTCTCATTTTAATTTTTAGAGAAATTGTAATCGTTGCTTTTCAGTTTGACAAGCATTTATGGCAAGAAATCAAAAATGACAACCGCAATATTGGACCAATTTAGGGTCGAATGACCATTTTGCCCTAAACAGTTAAATCACTGTTTATGATGAATATGCAATTCAGGTATTTCACTGATAGATCTTCAAACGTTGCTGTTTGGATCCCATATGCCAGTGAATAATGGTCAGATAATTGCTCAAAATCACAAAAAAAGCACTACCAGACGGCCCATTTGCTATCATCAAAGCAAGATCTTCCTTCCTTGGCTACTTTCCACAACTAAGGATCTAATGGGACCTTCCCGAGAAAAGGGACGGTCATATCCCTACACAGTTTGACACCACCACCAACACTACTACCGAAACACTTCAGTGAATGCAAACTAATCTAGCATATCTGGTGCTCCTCTCTCATACGTGTAATAATCAATGTTCTAAAAAACGTAAAACGTGACAAATTGTAGAGGTCAAGTTTCGGCCTAGGTGTAAAAAATGTTTTATTATTAAATATTATTTAAAAAATTTAAATCAATGTAAAAATTATTTAATAAATAAAGATAAAAAAACATAAAAAAATAAAAAAGCGTAAAGCAATAAAAAAAAATTACGACTAGTCGCAAAATAATAAAAAAGTGTGAAAAAGCACAAGGCCAAGTGTTTTGCGCCTGCTTTGAGCTGACAATGGTTGTAATCAACCATTCCACACATACATCAATTTTCACATCTTTTTTAACAGCACACACACATGCAAGTGGATGGAGTCCAGAATTAAAAATAATCGTGAATCCCACCTTTGTGAGTGGGTGTGAATAATGTTGTCAAAAAACATGCTGTACAAAAAGCATTTTTCGGTTGTAATAGACCACCCATGCTCTCGACAACTCCAAGAATCTGTAGCCGGTACTTTTTTCACAGTAACTATAATAGCAACATCTGTTCCAATTGCTTGGAGGAACTGAACGATCGAGGATATGCTCATCTGATGTCCCAGGCGGCCCATCAACTACCAGAAAATCAAGCTCCCCCCAATTAACATCCTTCAAGAATTGCTTGATGATTCCACTCTTTCTGGGACCCCTCCATATGGCAGCCTCATCAGGATGGGACAACATCAATCCAATTGATATGATCCCAAGGTTTGATTCAACGTAAAAACAGGTGACCACCAAAGTTAACTGGAAATTCATAGCCTCCAGGGCAAAAGATAGTTGAGCTGAGAATGTACTCTTGCCAACACCACCCTTGCCAGACATTTATTTTGAATTTTAGCTTTTTCCCCCTTACAATTTTTTGAATAAAAATATATATAGCTGCAACAATAAACTACTATTTTACATTTACCACAATAATTAGACATAATTGTCCCTCTCTCTCTCTTTCTCTCTCTCTGAAATATGAAATTCAAGAATAATGCCGTACACAAGTAGAAATCTTAAACAGTCACAATTAAAACCATAAAGAAGGCTGTTCAATAATAAACCAGAATTATCTGACAATATTCACACTATCAAACAATGCACTGATAACAATTTGCTTTGTTAGAGTTTTTGAAATTTCGAACACCTAGACAGCATAGTGAACTGTAGGCAATCCATGTGCAGCTCATATTACATATTCCCATGAACAGACCAGTGCAACAAGTTTAAGTCGTCTGTAATAATATGTCAAAGAACAACCAGCGAAACAGACTCAATAGAGAGGAAGAGAAAATATCACCCTAGTGTAGTGTCAACCGGATCACATTTTCAACCATTTTGGTTTGATCTTCTTCTTATCAGCAGCAGGTTTTACCTCAGGAGCAGCAGAGGAGCTAGATATCACAGATTCTGTTTCAGGTTGGGACTGTTGAGAAGTCCCAGCCTGCTCTTCAACAAATTCCAGACCTAGCAAAGACATGACATCTTCCTGAAGGAAGGGGCCTGATGGTGCAGAACCATCGTCACCTGAGAGAGAAGACAAGTCGCTAAAATGAGCACCGGTTGTTGGGATAGAATGATGCCCAAGAAAAATAATCCTAAAGGCTTTTACAGGGAGAAGCATGTCTATGGGCAAGGCAGTGGGGTTTTGTCACACACACACACCAAAAAAAAAAAAAAAAAAAAAAAAAAAAAAGGGAAAAAAAAAAAAAAAAAAAAAAAAGGAAAAAAATAAAAAAAC